CACAACCACGTTATTCATATGCACATATAGGCGCACTACGAAACTTTGGTGCTTTCATTATTATTCTTTCGACCAACTTTCCTAATTTCGTTACGTTTTTCGTTGGCTCTCGCTTTTGAAATTATTTAATGTGTATGTCATGCGCACCGTGGGCAAAAGTTTTTCCACAGAGTTTGGTCTTTATTTAGTTTTCTTCGTGTTTTTCCCTCTTTACGTTAATATGAATTTTGTTTGTTTGCATTCAACTTTAATGATCAATTTACGTTCGAAGCATCAAAGTTGAAACAAATGAGCGAGCTAGCGAGTTGAAGGTTAACCGCAAAAGCGTTGCTATGCTAGAACCTATAGAACACTGCGGTAATCGGTAGTTTCCGAATTCAGCCGTGCAGATGCTGAGGAACATTCAAGTGGCGTTTGGAAGGGTTTTTCAATTGAAGAGCGCTTATGTAATGTTTGGTATAGACAGGTGTTTATAAATTTTAATACGGTTAATGTAATTGTTAGGTTAGGAACGAAACACTTTTTTGACGATTCATCAGTTGTATGAACCGCAATAACTATTTAGATGGACAGTAGATACGAAGTCTTATACCATATCAAAAGCCATAGTTCATGTTCCCTTTTAGTCCGACGTTTAGAAGCTTTTACAATAGTATATAGAGTACACCCTAACCTATAAATTCCAATTTCAGAAAAATTAATCTGGTTTTTTTTTTGGATGTCAATGGAGAGTATAAGAAAACATACAAGGGTCCTTAAGGTGAAAATAGTATGACTTTTCACTTCTGATTGCAGAAGCAGAGCAGATAAAAATGGTCATTTACAATTTTTACGTAATTAAATGAAAATATTAGTTATTCTCGCAGAAGGCAAACATGTTCTCGTTTACTCTAGAGATTAATTAAAAATGTTACGGATGAAGAATAGTTTCTTCATCAATCAAATAGTTTTGATTGCAAAGTAAAATGCTACCATTGTTTGGTCAAAATCTAAGACTTTTATACTTGATAAAACGAAAAAAAACCTCGTACACTTTACTCCTAACACCAATTACGTAATCGCGCTGACCGTATGGAATTCCCCTTCACACCCCATTTCCACGAAAAGATCGTTCAAAGGGTAATTTTCCCACATCAATCCGCATAATTCAACAGAGATTACATCTACGGTGCACACTAATTGGCGAATCCTCTCCTCCTGGGAAGTACGAAGTCATTACCTCATGCAGATGATGTACAGGTGCTAATGCCCCTCGCACGGCTCATCTCGCGGTTTCCGCGTTGACGAAGTGTGCTTTGATGTCGGATAAGTAAAAGGAGAAGAAAAAAAAAGTTCACGGTAAAGTACGAAGCCCTACCTATTTATGGATAAAGATTTACGTGCGGTACGCAAAACGCAGAGCGCAAGGTGTCTTCCTCTTTAAGAGGGGTGGGTGCGAAGGGAGAGAGTATAATCGATAGGAAACCCGCGTGGGGAGATGTTGACGAACGCGCGATGGATAATTAAGCCTCCTCTCCGATCTCCAATGTTCTGCTGTGTATTTTAATGGTTATCGTCTCTCGGAGTTAAGGGTGTGCTTTGAGGAGGCTTTATTTTTTTGGGGGGAAAAAAATCCATGTATAATAATTTAAAAAAATTATTGATTCTTTAAATGATGCCGTATTCGAGGAGTTGTGCAGTTTATCAAATCATTTGGTCTCACCTCAGCGACATAAATCCGAAAGTGATTTAAATTATTCATAAATGTACATCGTGTGTGCATAAATTGAAATCTCATTAATTTGTATCTTAAAAATTTCGTCAAATTAACAAAATCGTGAAATTATTTTGAGGTTAAAATTTATACAGTGAGTGAATAATTATTTTGATATTTATTAATAGTAGCTAGAGTAAAAAGAAAAAATAAGTTTTGTGTTTTAATTCTAAAAAGTGGTTACTTGCCGTATTGACAATTGTACTGATAAAAATTATGCATTTATTTGTATGAATTTACTTTTTGTTTTCTGATAACAATAGTAAAATTAAATTACATTAAAATTTTAAATACTTATTTCTGACCTCATGTTATATTAAGTTATATTAAATCGTATGTAACATGACTCTGAAATTTCATTATAATTTTTTTTATTGCTTCAAAATTAATAAAGGAATTATGATAAATAATTTAATATTTTATAATGAAACACACACGAAAAAAAAAAAAAAACCAAGAACTGATCATGAAGTAATAAATAAAATCGTTATAAAATAATTTTCAAAGTATTAAAAAATTTAGTGATGTCTGAAATTACGTTTGAGCCCTTTATGTACAAATAAATAGCTCCTCGGTTCTATTTTGAGAGTTTTAGTTCGGGTGGTAAAATTATTAAAAAATCTTAGATTTTATGTTGCGTAAATTTTTCGACCACTAATAATAACACAAGTCATTTTTTTTAATCACTTGAATTATTGAAAAATGAGTGCTATGTCTGACCAAAATCTGATATTACTACTTAAAAACGGTTGAAGCGCATCAAACAGAGAGTTAAATCGAACAGATTTATTTTAACGGATGAAAAAAAACTCTGATTTGTTAAAAAAAACAATCACAAGTTAAAATATAAATAGCATCGCAAAGTGCCCCCAGAAATGACGAAATTTCAAATTTTAATATCAAAAGTCAAACACTCGAAACAACGAGGAAAAAATACTGTCGCGATGAAAATTGGCCCAACTTTGCCAAATTCTTTTGAGTTGTATTTCCAAAGATTGGTTTTAATATCCCCTTCCTTGCAATAACACATCCACGGGGAAACAAAAAAAAAAAAAAAAAAAAACAACTGAGCTCCGCATCACTGGTCGACCGCACGCTTAATAAAATTACTCGTCCAAACGCACAAGCCACGCTCGATCGTGACCGAGAGCTACTTTGAATTCAAATATATACACATACATGGAAACCAAATCTAATAAGCACAAGTACAGTCCCGCACACACAGGTATATATATATATACACACACACCAATCTATAGTCTTTTTTTTTTTTTTTTTTTTTTTTTTTTTTTTTTTTTTTTTTTTTTTTTTTTTTTTTT